TTTTGAGTCAAGATCTTACCCATGCTGGCACTAAACTCCTGGGCTCAGCAATTCTCCTTCCTTGGCTTCCTGAGTAATTGGGATTAGAGGTGTGTACCACAGCGTTCACCACTCCCATTTTCAAAAACAACTCCACACATCATTGTTTAGAATAACCTCAAAGGCGTGCACTAGAGCAACACATACCTAGAAAGTTTGAAAATGATGTTAGCAATTGTGAAAAATCAGAAACAAAGATATTCACAAATAAAAATTCTGGTTTGCTTTAAAAATTACTTTTTAAGGTTGGTGTGGCAGAGACAACATAATTGCCTAGCCATATCTATTCACCTTTACTGCTTAGGAACATCCTTAATTCATTTAAGATGGTAAAAATGTAGCAAAACAAAACAAAAACAAAAATCTTTCATTTTCCCTCTGTCAACAAGGTGAGTGTAGGCTATGACTCTGCTCTTGTTAATGAGATACAAGCAGAGCTGGGCTTCTGCGAAGGCTCCTTCCAGGGAGCTGACTCGACCTGGATAGCAGACGCTACTGCCTTATCCTTTCCCTTTCTGCTGATGCTAAACTTTAGCAATCAGCTTGGATCATGAGGATGGAAGCCCATATGGATGAAGGTGCTAAAAGTCAAAAGGAGTCCAAGTCCTTGAAGAGTTGGTGGAGCAGGCAATGGGAATGAAAGCTGTGCTGTCTCAGAAGGAGGCAGGCAATGGGAATGAAAGCTGTGCTGTCTCAGAGGATCAGAAGGGCTCCATAGGCAGTTTAACACTCAACCACCGCTATCTGAAAATTGTTAGTATTTTTCTTTTTGGCCGGGTGGGTGGTGGGGCACACCTGTAATCCCAGCACTTGGGAGGCTGAGGCAGAAGAATCACTATGAGTTCGAAGCCAGCCTGAACTACATAGCGAGACCCTGACCCCTCCAAAAAATTATTTTTGAAGTGGGATTTTGCAGGTGAAGTCTGATAGAACAATGCAGCATGTTTACGAGAAGAGGGATTACACGCAATCAGTATCTTGCTGATCCTTGTCGCTGTCGGAATTGCGGTGGCCCCACAAGGAGCAGGCAGTCACTGAGATGAACCACAAGTACAAGGAGAATGTCCTACACTTATGACAGATTAAGTGGGGACATCGACAGCCCTGAGAAGCCACAAGCTCCATTTGAACTAGAACTTGCTATACAGGAAGAAGGCAAGGGCCTGTCTCTAAAGACACAAAGATTTCTGTAGTAACATTTCTTCTTATATTATTTCCCTGTAGTAATTAATAACTTACCCTGAAAATGATGACATAGGAAAAGAAATGCTAGACAACCCACGGCTTTTTGTTTAGCTTTCAGGGCAGGAGACTGAACCCAGGGCCTTTTGCTGGGGAGGTGAGCGCTCTATTATTGAGCTATAATACATCCCTGGCCTTTTCCATTTCAGACCTTTCTTATCAGTTGGCCTGAAGTAGAGAGTTGATAGATGGTACATGACTAAGAAGCGAAATAAATAAAAGCAGTTGCTCTTGTTTTGTGTGATTTTTTCATTGTTCTGGTAAGAAGAAAGTGGAAATGCGTACACACACGATAAAGTCCTAATTGTGTAGCCAGGTGTGGTGGTGCATACCTGTAATCCCAGCGCTCTGGGAGGCGCAGGCCAGAAGGATAGCAAGTCTGCACCCAGACTAGGCAACTTTAGAAACTTGGTCAGGCCCTGTCTCAAAAAAATACAGTAAAATAACAACAAGCTAACAAACAGACAAAAAGGGCTGGGGATATAGCTAAGTGGAAAGACACTAGGTTTACTCCTTAGTACTTCAAAAAAACAAAAACAAAAGCAAAACCTCTATATACATGCTAATTTTTCTCATATTTGCATTTGATTTTTGTTTGTTTGCTTGGTTTTTTGAGACAGGGTCTTGCTGTGTAGTCCGGGCTGGCCTTGAACTTCCCTACATAGCTGAGGCTGGCCTCAAACTTACAGAGATCCTCATGCCTCAGCCTCCTGAGTGCTGGGATTACAGGTATGCACCACCCTGCCCAGCCTCATATCTGCATTTGAAACCAATATTGCTCAATGTAAATATAAAGTGAAAAATTCAAGCTCCAGTTTTCTTTTTTACTCAAAAATGACATTAAAAAACAAAAATAAAAACTCCCCCAAACTATGACAATTGCAAAGACGGACTTCAAAAGAAGAGTTTTCATATCTTAATACATTTAATGAAAATTTTTCCTTAGTTTTTGAACAAGAGGCCCCACAGTTTCATTTTGCCCTGGGTACCATAGTTACATAGCCAGCCTTGACTTTAAGGAGCCTCACACCATAAAGTGACCGTTTTTGTGCATAAGTCAGTTACTCTATTTTAACCAACTTTAATCCTGAAGTACATTGTTTATGGTATTGCTACTAACCCATAATATTTGATTAGGTAGAAAATTTTTGTTAGGTTAAAAAAAATAAAATGATTTGGGAGATTGAAGCAGGAGGACGGAGTTCCAGCTGGGCAATTTAGCAAGACTGCCTCAAAATGAAAAAGGTCTAGGGATGTAGCCCAGAGTAGCATGCCTCTGGGTTCAATCCCCAATACCACCAAAAAAAAATGCTTATGGATAGCATTTTATTTTAATATATAAGTACACAGATACACAGAAAGCAATATTAATTTTTTTTGTCTTTTTGAGACAGGGTCTCACTATGCAATTCAGGCTAGCCTTGAGCTCACTTTGTAGCCCAGGCTGGTCTTGAATTTGCAAGATCCTTCTGCCTCAGCCCCCTGAGTGTTGAGATTACAGGCATATGCCACCATGCCTAGGTAGCAATATTAATTTTATAGTTCAATAAAAATGTTTAAATGTACAGATTAATCCTGAATCAGGGTAAAATTTATTCCTTTTTTTGGAGACTCCTTTAATAACACATATTTATTTATATTTGGTGGTGCTGAGGATCAAACCCACAGCCTCGTATATGTTAGACAAGTGCTTTGATTCATGCAACTCAAACAATCTAAAGTTATATAAACAAAAACCAATTTCATCCCTGCAGCCTATCCCTGTCATGTGAAGTAATCATGTTAAAAGGAAAACAAGTATATTATACACATACACATCACACACACGCGCGCGCGCACAAACACACAGGAGCAAAAAGAAGAGAGATTGATGATTTGAGAGTTTATTTTCTGTGAAGTAGAATCCTATTATATACATTTCCCCTCACATTACTATTTCACTTAGTATATCACGAACTTTTATAGAAGATGATATATATTTATCATTTTTCTTATTGCTCTATACATACATAGAGACACATATCATTTCACATTCCATCTTAGCCATCTTATTTTGGAACTTTAATCAGGCTCTTAAGCCTTCTCCTGGGCCCACCTATGTACTTCTCTTACTAAAAAAGTCATCTAGAGGATGGGATATAGTTCAGTGGCACAGCACCTACCTGACAAGTGTGAGGTCCTCAGCTTGATTCTTGGTAACAAAAAAAAAAAGTTATTTAAAAATCCATTTTCAGGAAGAAGCTCTCACTCTTGCTATCTGATCAGATTCATACTCTCTTCCAAGACTCTGTCTTGCTTGTCTTTAAGAAAAAATACTGTGAAACCATTTTAGTCAGAATTCCCCTGGCCTCTGCCATATCCTCTCAGAAATTTTCCATCCATTGACCACACCCTGATCCTTAGTTATAAATTCCCACTTGTTCATGCTGTCTTTGGAGTTGAACCCAATCTCTTTACACTGGTGCAAAATCTCATTGCCATGGTCCCTATATCTTCTCAATGATCCTAAGAAAGATCATCCTTACTGTGCTTTAACAGGTATCATTGACTATTTCTTTCTTTAGCACTTTAACATAGACATTTATTAAACATTCTATTATTCTTTGGAAAGCAGAGAGTCCTTTGTGTTTCTGACTGAACTCACTCCACCTTGATTGGAGTACTTCAAAGGGAATGCCTTAAATTTATTCTTCCAGACAAGATATATTCCCCACATGTATGTTTTCTCCTTACTTCTATTTTCTTATGCCATATATATTTTTGTGGCATACTAAAAAGTTTGCTTTTTGATACCTCATCCTCTTTCTTTTTCTTTTTCTTTTTTTTTTTTTGGGATGGGGGTACCAGGAATTGAACTTAGGACCTTGCACTTGCCAGGCAGGTGCTTGTGCCACTGAGCTATACCCCCAGCCCTTTCCTCTTTCTCTTAAGGGAAACTAAATTTGGTGCCTCAAAGGGGTAAGTCAGCATATAATTTAATATTTACTAGTTGAACCTTAAGGGGTTATAAAAAATAGAAGCCTTACATATACCATATACTTGCTGAGGAACTGTGGGAATCTTATTGGCCTGTAAAAATTACAAAGGAAGATTGGGGCTATAGCTCAGCAGTGGAGCATGTGCTCAGCTGGTACCAGGCCTGGGTTCAATCCTCAGCATCAAACATTCAAAAATTACAAAATAGACCATGTTAATATTATAAAATTATGATTATTCCTACATGATATTGAAAACACATTTGTTAGATGTTGTCTCACATTGATCAGTCTGGGGTTTTCTGTCAACAAAGTCCCAGTGAATTTCTCAGTGACCTCATTGTCACTGTTAGTCTGAAACAACTGGCTAGAGAAGGTTCTGCACTGAGTCCATGTGCATGCACTTGAATCTTTATTTAATTTGAGATAGTGAAGAATTTTTTTTTGAGACAGGGTCTCACCATGAATTTCAGACCAGCCTTGAACTCACTATGTAGCCCAGGCTGGCCTCAAACTCATGGCGATTCTCCTGCCTCAGCCTCCCAAGTGCTGGGATTAGAGGCATGCACAATCATGCCTGGCTGTGAAGAATTATTCTACCCACCTCAAAAAAGAATTATTGTACAAATAAAACTTTATTTTTATTTTTGTTATTTAAAAATATGTTATGCAAGTCAGTAAGTTGTTTCTTCTTGGTAACAAGTTTATTATTTCATCATCTATTTACAGTGACTTATACATCAATTTTACATATTCATAGCTTTATTGTCATTAACAGTTATTCATTGTGCATTGACTCTGCTCTGGAATCTCAGCTGATGAGACTAGAAAACATTTCCTTCTGCACAGGCAACATGTTATTACCCTTCAGAGATTCCTTTCTGAAAAAAGAAAAGAAGATGGGAGTTTTTAATCCCAAAATGAATTAACAGAAAAATCCTTACAAGATGCAAATGCAAAGTATAGATGAATGACCAAAACACTGAAAATACGAAAGCAACAGGAAATATGAGAAACCCTTCGAATTACAGCTGAAATATATTTTCCAAAGTTCAATATTTGTATCCATGGGTATAGTTGCGGCCATTCAGGAATAAAATAAAAATTAAATCTAAAAATCTAAACTAAAACTAACTGTTCCAAATACATATACATACTCTCTCTTTTCTATTATGTTTATGTGTGTGTGTATATACATAATTATTATTTCTCCCCAAATCAGGGTCATCATAGGCTAATGACAATGATTAAAAGAGGCAGAAGCAAGCCAGTGCAATAGCACATTCGTCACCAACACACTTCCAGCTCCAACTCTGCCCTTGCCTTTTGTAGTCACCGCTCTTCCTGCTTCTGTCCAGCCCTCAGGGGTCTCCTTGTCCCTGCCTGAATTTCGCTACTAGTTGGCAGTTAATTAATGACAGAGAGTCCTGTGTACATGGAGAAAATTGTGGTGGGAAGTATGGACAAAGTCTTTATATGTCTCAACACTTTTCAGTTATTAGAAACAGAGAGGTAAATACGAGTAGTAGAAAAACTAGTTGGCTCTGTGTCAGTAAACCAGTCTGGCAATTTAATATAATCAAATTTTAGTAATTAATTTTTGTATTGTATTGTATTAAATGATAGCAAGGTGTCTAAGCAGCAGAGGTGGAAGAGGGGACAGAAAAGTTGGTGGTTCCTTGGCAATTTTCTTTTTTTGTCTTTTTGAGAGAGGGTTTCACTATGCAGTTCAGCTTTGAGCTCACTTTGTAGCCCAGGCTGGCCTAGAACTCACAGTGATCCTTCTGCCTTACCCACCACCCCTGCCCCAGTGGAGGGATTACAGGGGTGTGCCACCATGCCCAGGCAGCAATTTTCTTTATCATAGGTCGAAACTGGTATGGAATCTTCCAGAAGCTAGAAAAATAGTTATTTTCTCCTCCTTTACTATTTAGTGGAGAGGGGAAAAAAAAAACACCACCAAGAGAACTATAATCAAATTTTTTGTTCCTGTGAGTGTTCAAATAGAGGCTTAATAGGCTTAAATTTTGAGTTTAAGCATCAGATACTTCCAATCTCAAAATGAACAAACATGCTGAAAGGTGATGAGAGGGGAAACCTAAATATGTCCTCTAGTCAAATTCTATATTTAACAGTAAAAAACCTACATCTGACTAGACTCGAGTAAAAAATTAAGTAAACATAAGAAAAGTGTTAGCTAAGTATGCAATTTTACTAACGTGTGTTCTTTTACAACATTGTTTTTTCATACTTAATTATAGCTGTCATGTAGTTTTATTTTCTTAATAAAGAATTTAAATTGCTGAAGGTAGTCTCCTGTTTTTTTAGAGAGAGTCTGCATGTATAACCCCAGAAGAATTTTGAAAAACATAGGATCCCTTGAACATTTTACATGGATATCTACAAATGTTTTGTCTGAAGTTTAAATCACTGCAAAGAATGTAGTTGATGGTGTATTATCATTTGAATATGTTCTTTAATTTTGTTTGTATCAAATCTTCAGGGTTAGTTGTAGGGTTAGCTCACTCAGTTTACTGAGTAAGTCCACTGGATAAACACATTCCTAAAGAAGCCAGTCTTCACTGTTAAACCTGTCAGCTTGATGGAGCTTACTGCCTATCACTCTAAAAATCAAACAAATGAGACAATAGCCTTCTAAATCCTCATTCCAACTGGGGAAAGACAAGAGAGGTAGAAACAAGGTGAAGAGAGTTGGTAAGAGTTTGTTCCCTGGACAAAGTAAGGTTTTAGTTTTTACTAAGGATTTCTTTGCTTTTGTAGGGAATGAGAAGAACACCTCTCTGAGCTACTGTCTTTTAAATGATCCCCTTCTGAGCTGAGGCTAACATTTTTATTCCCCAGAGCAACGCATCAAGGTAAAATTCAGACTGAGAGGGAGGCCTAATAGGAGGAGGATTGTGAAAAGGAAGATATGGACAGGCCTCAGGAGGAGGGCCCTCGGTAATCATAGATGTAGAAGCTGAGAATCGGGAAACATATGCAGAGTTAATGAAAGCTATCCATCGCCATGTGTTTTTGGAAAGTTTTCTTGGATCCTACCAGTTTGACTTCCCAGACTGAAGTGTGCTCCTCTGAATCCTTTTTGGAAGGAAGTGCATGTGCTATAAAGATATGAGATACAGTACAAGCTGCAAGCTGCAAGATAGCCTCCAGTGGTCAATCATGCAAACAGCAGCAGGCGGGGTCCTGAAGCTTGGCTCAAGGAAACCACTTTGTTAAAGCTTCCCCCAGTGGAACGACTCACACTCCAAAGTCTAATTCTTTCCCATAGGTATTTATATTCATATGTGTTGGATTTTTAGAGATGAAAAAAGCTTATCAGGCACAAAAAATATAAAGCTAGGAAAGTTGAATAAATAGCAGTGAGATTACTTTGCATTTTTTGGCTCAAGTAGTACAAGGCAGTCCCTGATTTAATGTGCCTGTTATAATGATATCACATTACAAGAAAATTTAAAGTAATACCACATGTTGGAGAGTTTTAAAACATGCAAAACATTGTGTCCGTTTGAAATACAATTTCATGAAAATCTAAACTTCATAATAGATAAGCTGATACAGGTTGAGAATCCCTTAGGGACAAGAAGTGTTTCAAATTTCAGACTTTTTTCGTTGCTTTTTATTTTTGTACCGGGAGTCAAACTGGATGTTGCGTTTGACAGGCAGGTGCTTATGCAACTGAGCTATATCCCCAGCCCTCAATTTCAGACTTTTTCAATGGGATTTTTGAAATATTTGGATCTAGACAATGTGATCTACACAATGTGATCCATCTCTTATGGATGAGACCTAGGTCTAAACATAAAATTCATTTATGTTTTACACATAGCTTGAAGGTAACACACACACACACACACACACACACACACACACACACTATTTTAAATAAGTTTATGCATTAATTCTGGATTTCAGAATTTCAGATTAGGGTTTCTCAACCTGTATTAGCATTCAAAGCAATGCTTCAAAGGACATCTTTCAGTATTACTTTATGTTAAATATGTTTACATTTTACTATTCTTTCCCACAAAGCATATGGTTCCCTGTTTTCTCCAGGAATTATAAAGCTTCCCAAAAGAAACAAAGTTCAAATCTCTACCAATGGCAGGCATCTGTTGCTTTTGTTCTTTCAGCTTTTCTGTCTGCCATCTTCAGGTAATGTCTCCCCACTTCTTTTGAGGTATTTCTCCTCCCTCACTCCACACAATTTCAGGCTGCTATTTGTGCTTCTTCTATAATAGAAGGTGGCATGGGGACAGGTCTAATCATTCTAAGTACACCATCTTCCTGACCATGGACTGGTCTGGTGGTAAGCATATGACCCTAAGTGGGCTAATTATAGTCTTTTTCTGTGATACGTCTATGAAATTAAGAGCCTCTCAGTGAAGTTCCCAAAACACCAAAATATTGAGTTTTGAGATTTCTTATGGAAGATGATAAAGCAGTAGAGGTTTCCCACGGGAGTCTAACGTGGAGCAAGCCAAGCTGATAGAATGGACAATGCAAGCCAGACAGATACAAGCAAAGGCACATAAATTATAAAAAGGTTTCCCCAGGCCCTGGACTGATACAGAAAAAGACTTACCTGATCATTGAGAGACCGACAGGCTCTCAGTGGCTTGTAGATGACAGAGTCTAAAAATCAGATGTTAACAAGAAGTCACCAGAATGGACGCAACAGGAAGAACCTGTTTGTTAACTTCTAGGCATGCAGAGTGCCATGGGCTTTGAATGGATGGTATTTTCTGCACTGAAAAGAACTATGTATAAAGGGAATAGGGAAGCAAGGTTCTTAGAGGTGATGTAACTGGGTTAAAGCTTTGCCGGACTGGGGCCAAGATAGAGGGCAAGGTGGTGCAGGTAGAGGGGTACTGAGGCAGCTGCAATACCCATGTTTCAATAGTGCCACCATGTGGTTGTGATGCCAGCAGTGGCCTAACTCTATCTCACTGTGTCATTTTGGTTGACTGAGCTGTTTCTGATTCTTCTATTCTAGAGGTGAGAGTTGGCAGAGCTGACTATCCTGTCCCTGAGATATATGATTTCTTAAGAGTGACAGACGGGGTAAGATTAGAAAGAAGGGATTACAGTGAAGGAAGAGATCTTGGTAGTATCAGAGAATTCCTTGGATAACAATAGGAGACTCCTCATTTTGTCCCTCAGGTTGGAGAAGTAGAGTTTGTAAGTGATAGAGTTGGCTGGAGTTGACTTCTACAGTTTGTAAGAGCCAACTGTAAATTTTCAGTAGTTTTGTAAGCCAACTGCTAAACAAAACTATTGTGAAGAATAAAACACATATATCAGATTTAATGACAATAGATTTACTGGGAAAAGAGTGGGATGTAACTCCATTTGGCAAATCACAGTTCAATTGCAACCATGTGTTAGCTATAGAAACAAAAGTTTGGCAAGAGTCAACACATTCTGTAAGAATCCATTGGCTCTGTGGATGCTACAATAAAAGCACTGTATATTTTATTATTATTTGTAAATCATATGCTACACATATTTTTTACATCATAAAAATTTTAATAAACTTACATATATAAACACACATCTATAAACATATACACATTTTTCCCCTGAAGATTTTGTTAAACATCACACCATTACTCCTAAATTATACGTTTAGAATGAAGTGCTCATATTAACCAAGTATGAATAATGTACCATTTCAATTCCAATCACACTCAATTCCAGACTAGTGTGGCTTCCTCCTGAGGCACACCCCAACAACGCTGCAAAAAGGTCAAGGAATTTCCATTCAGTTTTTTCCTTAAATGCTTTGGAGACAAACCAACAAGCAAACTCTTATGAAATCTCTGGTGATACTTTAAAACCATCGTGAAGTGCTAAGTGCCTAATATGGTGATATTTTATTCTCAGTCAAATTGTCCCAGGTTTATGCAATTGTTCAAGAGCTTAATCTCACCATGAGCTATGTTTTCATGGAAAAAGTAGGTAAATACATTCCTCTGTTTAGTGACAACCAACATAATCTTTTGAGACTTAAAAAAAAATAAGGATGAGGTAGAAGTTTCTACTCTCAGTGGCAAAATGAATACAGGTTTTCATATAGGCACCATTAAAATGATAGAAAAGGAACAGTTGAAAAGAAGATGAAATAAGAATGAAGATAATTTAAAAAGAATCACCAATAGATGAGATTTTAAAAAATGGATGGAAGTCACAAAAGAGATGGAACCATGTGATGGGTTAAACAGAGGCAGGAAGTCAGAATGCTGATACAATCACGAGGGATTGTAGAAGCCATTAGAGGGAATCTCCCTAGTACAACTTGTAGAGTTCTGAGGCTGGACAACTTCCAATCAAATTGCAAAGCATGAGAACAAGACAAAGATATTTGAAGATTCACATACTCCTTTTCTTAGGAAGTTATGGAATGTACTCAAAAAGAAAAAGAAGGCAGGAGCTGGGCATGGTGGTACATTCCTGTAATTCTAGCTATTTGAGACTTCTTGGGAGGCAGGAAGACTGCGAATTCAAGGCCAATTTGGGCAACGAGAAAAGACTCTGTCTTTTTTTTTTTTTTTGGTACTGGCTGGGAACTGAACTCAGGACCTTGCACTTGCCAGGCAGGCGCTGTGCCGCTGAGCTACATCCCAGGCCCAAGATTCTGTCTTAAAAAAATACAAATTAAAAAAAAGACTAGGGATATACTTGGCTTCATTTCCCAGCGCCACACACACACAGAGGAAATTAGAAACAAAGTGCCTCTGAGTACAGAAAATATAACCAGAGGTTCAATGAAAAGAAATCCCAAATGCCTTACTACTGCAGGCCTTGAAAAAAGTCTTTCTAAATTGGAACAAGAATTCAGTGGGGGTTAAAAAGAATGTCTTTAGTAAGAAAGGAATAAATCCTATGCTATTGGTGGAATTAGTTAAACTACTGAAAAGTATCTGGATATGGTGAAGTAAGCATGTTCTATCTCTCAGGGAAAAAAAGCAATTAGAAACTCTGGGAAAACAAAATATCATAATAAAGTTGTCCTCCAAAGATCAATCAATGTAAAAAAACCAGTATACTTTTTAGCAATTATACTGCATTTAGAGCAGAAGGAAATAGTACACTGCAAGGTAGAGTAGGAGGGAAAAACAATATTTGACCAAGATGTCAGAAACATTTCCCCTCAGACTGTATAGTACAGGGACCCTGCACTGGGTCTATGGTGAAAAAAATTTTAATAGAAGCAAGTCTCTTGGCTTTATATTGAATAATTCATTGATAGTTTTCTTAAGGGGGTGGTTTTTTGATACAGAATTTTGCTATGTAATTCAGGCTACCCTTGAACTCACTATGTAGCCCAAGCTGGCCTTGAACTTGTGGCAATTCTCCTGCCTCAGGCTCCCAAGAGCTGGGACTACATATATGTGCCATCAAACCCTGACTTCAATAGTTTAAATAGCAGATATATTATTAGGATTCAACTTTTAGAATCAATTTGTAGACAAAACATTGAAAACATAATTGTAGCCATATAGAGAATTTAAATCACAGAATATAAAAGAAAAACAAAGCTGACAAAAGTTGGTAGGTGGAAGTTAAAGAGCTGTGAAAGGATGTGCGGACACATTATTAACCCCTTTGCGTGGAGGGGAGTACACAGGTGTTTGATCTAGGTACTATTAAAATGATAGTAAAGGAACAAGAGTTGAAAAGGAAATAAAATTACAAAGATGAAGAGAATTGAACAAGAATCACCAACATATAAAGAATTTATGGAAGTCACAAAAGGCTAAGGAAACAAAAAAAAAAAATCATTTAAAACTTAGAAATTTAAAAGAATGATACAACAATCATAAACCTGAAGAGGAAAAGCAGAAAGAGGTGAGATGCAGACGTAAGTTAACAACGTGAGTTAAATCCTCATCTTCTAGAGTAGGGAATCAACAGAACAAAAAATGATACTATTTTACCATATTATTTAGATTTGTGAAAGTCTGTACTGTACTAGAAGTAAACCATAAATGGTTGAAAGCTGTAGCTTCGGAGGGGGGGGGGGCAGAGTTACTACTCAGCTGTAATTATTTGTTTAAAATGACAAAGTTGGGCTGGGGCTGTAGCTCAGCTGACGTGCTCTTGTGGAGCATGTGTGAAGGCCTAGGTTTCCAGCACAACCAAAAAATTAATAACAATAATAAAATAAGAAAGGTGAAAGAGTTTTAAGTGTGTATATTTGACTTTGACAGATATAAAATTTAAAGTAAAATAGTGAGGCCGAATAGCATCCCACCCACATGTGAGATCTGCAGTCAGTTTGTGCATGTTTAATATCAACCCAAGCATTTACTGGCTATGTGAGTCTGAACACGTTACTCAATCCTTTTGTTCCTTACTATCTGCATGACCTTGGGCATGTTATTTAATCTCCTTGTGCTTTATGTGCAGTTCTCACTAATAAACAAACCAATATGTATAAAATGCTTAGCAAAGGGACCAGTATATAGGAAATGTCCTGTATTTAATTTTGAAATAAACAACAACCAAGTGCTTGTAAACCTGTGGAGATGCATAGGATTCTTTCTAAAACTAATTTATCCTTGAACATAAATTTGATAAAGCCTTTTTAAGGAAAATTTTTGATAACAGCTATTAAAATTTAACCTGCACACCTGCCTGGCAAGCCCAAAGTCGTGAGTTCGGTTCCCAGTACCGGAGAAAAACCAAAAAAAAAAAAACAAAAACAAAAAATAAAATTTAACCTGCATACTTTTTGAAGCAGTGATTCTATTTTTAAAGGAATTTACCTGGAGATTTATGCTTATTTTTTGGTTCAAACAGTGAATCTAAGGATATTAATTTCATCATTTAAAAATGTTTATTATTAGTACATGTTTGTGGTATGTAATGATTATATTTTTGTGGGGAGGTGGACATGTACATAACACATTTTAATTTTTTTTACTTCTCCCTCCTCTGTCTCTTTTTTCACCTCCCATATGCAGAAGATCTATCTCCCTGCATCATTATGAATAGTGGAAAAAAATTAGAAATTGCTTAAGTGAATCATGCTATATTAATATACTGGAATGCCACAGCCTTTCAAAAGAAAAAGTAGACACGTATATACTGATTTGAGAACATTGGCAAGTACAATAAACAAGATGTAAAACAATGTGTACATTGCACTTCTATTTGATTAGAAGTGAAGACATACATGTGCACATGCTATACACATGCAGCAAATGAAACTCATTCTGGGATTGATTCTGGGGAGGTAAATGATGTCTAAAATGAGATGGGCATTTATTGGATTTGCCCTTTTATTCTGCTTGAATTTTACTATATGCTTGTACCAATTTTTTTAAAGGATTTAAAGTATTTCCATTGTGAGGTAAAATTACAGTTAACTCACCATTTCAGTTAGGATGCTTTTTGCTCAAAAGTAACAGAAAAACAAAGTTCTGCTTTGTTTTTATTGGTTCATATATCTGGGAATCCACCTGCCCACCTAATGGAAGTCCAGAACAGGTTAGGTTTCAAGTTCAGTCTGGTCCAGTCTGCCAGGACAGATAATCTTGTTTACTGGATTAATCTTCAATTAGCTTTTCTCAAGGCCAAATAATGCCTTCATATCTGCTTTCATTTTTTTTTTTTTTTTTTTTGAGACA